GCAGGGCATAAGATAGAGAAAAGGATGCGGCTAGAAGAATACCTTAGCAAAAATAGCAAAGCGCTCGATGGCGGTCAGAAAGGCGGTGAGTTGGCGTTCCAACGCCTCAGACAGACGGCTGTCCGAGTTGCGGGTGACAGCCAGCCAGGCGAGAACAGCGGTATCGACGGTAGCGGCAGCGATGACCGCCAAAGCTACGGGGAGCCGCAGACTCAGTACTGTGGAGTCCACCTAAAGAAAGACGGCAACATCAGCAACCTCAACAGTTTACATAGAAAAGCACGCATCGAATCTTAAAGGGAAAATCAGTTGAGCCAGGAAGAAAGGAAGGCGGATATTTTAGCACCGTTTAGTTGAGACAGACTACAGGTAAACGGCAAAAGTAGTTTATGTAGTGCACTTCATATATCCCTGGTCCCAGCATTTTGTCCTACGGAAACGATGGTTATAGGATTTTTGGAGGTGGGGGAATACGATAGGCTGGGAAGGAGATTTTTAGAAGTGTAAAGTGAAAAAACGTAATCAAATTTGTTTCCCGCGGCCGCTAGGAGTAAGTCGTTTCGAGTGTAAATTGAAGGTGTGCGCGGCGGACCATACTAATCTAACCCCAGAAAAGTAAGTTGGACCTCAGATAAGTTGAAGTAGACGACCTCCTGATCACTATTTCTATCTTTCATGAATTTCAAGAAGCCTGCAATTTTATAACCGGGTTTTTCTGCAATAGGTTAAACTATAATACCGATAAGGAAAATCTACAGATAGAAATCAAAAAAAATTCTAAATACAATAAAATGAAAGTGCATATAGCAGTTATTAAAGTATATTCCAAGGGCTATCCTAATTCCCCACCCCCAAAACCCTATAAAGACCGTTTTCGTAGGACAAAATGCTGGGACAAGGGAATAATGAGGTGCACTATATAAACTACTGTTGCCCAGTTAAACGATCGAAAACAAGCTTGGGGGAGAACGTTTCCAACGATAAGCAGGAGCAGGAGGAGGAGAAAGAGAAGAATGTGGTGGTGGCGGGGGTGGAGACCTTGATCCGGGATAGCATGCTCAAAGCTATAATTCGGTTGGTGACAGGTAACGCAGTACAACGGAGCCTCGGGTGACGAGCAGCTCCATCGACAAGCACTTTAGGTAAAAAACGCGCCACTCGCAGCAAATTTGTCTCGATTAACGAGTTTCTGCTCAGTTAAGGAGCTGTCAGTGTCCACCGTTGAGTCTTGCCCCTCAGGGCGTGGATCTTCGGTGGCCTGCAGCCAGTCAATGAACTGATGCAGTTTCAACGGCTAGGTTTAGCAGACGAGCGTTCTACACGACGAGCTCGGTGCTGGAATGGATGAAACTCGTTAAATGAGGTTCCGCTGTACATTATTAAATCAAGAAATTAAGTAACATTTAAGCTATGCGTACGCCAACTGACGGGTCTCTTATGGTATATAGAAGCTGCACTGCGTGCTAAGTTGATGTTTTGTTGGCCATTTTAGAATACTATCCTACGTCTAACTATGGACGGGAAACCTTAATTCGAT